ATTTTCATCCATTTAAAATGTTGTATTTTAATGGTTTGGCAGTATTATAAGGTGAAATAAAATTTGAGATTCATTATAATATCAGTTATTTTAAATATTAAAAGTCACATTTGAACACTGAACTTGCATTGCTTTCTGAATTTATACAGTTTCTCATTTTTCTGATAAAAAAAGAAAAAAATGTATAGAAATTCTTGTCCCTTTAAAAACTTTTTGTCTTTTAAAAATATGATCATGATTCGACTAATTTGTACTAAATCCTGGTAAATTTGTTCCTTCAGCTTCAAGATACCAGGCAGGTGTGTATGATGTTGTCTACAGAAATACTCTCTAATCCACAGTTCACTGAAGTGAATCTGAAGTGCAAAAGCAATTCTTCCGGTTTGCTCTGTATAGTGGTAGTAGGACGTCTTCCAAAGGTTAAAAAACTGGAGACTAGCAACATATCAACTTTCAGGTGGCCTCTCCTAAGCACTTGTAATTCACTTACTCTCCTGAAAATCATTATTCCAAAGGTTTGACTCACTTGTAGCCCCACTTGGATCTTAAATTGCATTTCGAAGCACTCCTATCATTCATCCATTTTCAGAACTGCCATTAGAAGTGATGGGAATTTGGCACAAAAATCAATGAAAGGATATGATATGAGTTCGTTCTAATTTTTCCTTCTTTGAGATCCATCTCAAGTACAGTCTGTGAAATCTGTTTTTTAAAGATATGTTTCCATCTTGCTATTATTTCAACTAAATTGAGTTCATGACCTTGGGATATGTATTCACGCAGTTTTTCAGGAAAGAAAGGAGATTCATTGTCACTGTTGTTAATTGCGACTTAAAATCATTTCAAAATCTTAATTAAATCATTTACTGCTGATCTCCTCAACAGCTTTTTAATCTCTTAAAAATAAGGGGTTAGATTTACTATTGTCACCTAAAAATTATTGTATTAGTTATGTTTGGTTATTATTAATACCTACTAATATATACACTTGTATGTATTTGATTTTCTTTTCCCTAGTCAGTGATAGAATTTTATGGCACTTATTTTTTATCAAGAGAAGGATACTGCCATTTATTGGTAAAGAAAAATTTAACACTTTGTTAACTAGAGTATTTAATTTATTGCACTATTTTCATTTCTTCCCCAATAACTAAAAATTGTCATATGAACTGGATTCAAACTCTAAGCACCCCATGTACACAGCTGTTAGAAGTTTCAAAATTTGTCTTTCTGGTTAATGAGTTCCATTAGGCTGCAAACATTTGTATTGTAATAAAATAACTTTATTTTTCATATATAATTCTCTCTTAATTTGTTAATGGGGCAAAACACTCTCTGTTAATATGAATGAATTACAGTTTGTGTCCCACTTCTGTATCACAAGAAGTAAATTAGCTGATTCAAGAAAGTCGTGGAAAGAGTCATGGGGCGCCTGGCTGGCTCAGTAGAGTGTGCAAGTCTTGTTCTCGGTGCTGTGAGTTGAAGCCTCACATTGGGTGGAAATGTTACTTAAAAATAAAACCTTTAAGGGGTAGCTTGGTGGCTCAGTAAGTTAAGCATCCAACTCTTGATTCTGGCTCAAGTCATGATCTCAAGGTGTGTTAGACTCTGCACTAACAGCGTGGAGCCTGCTTGGTATTCTCTCTCCCTCCCTCTCTGCCCTTCCTCGCTTGTGCTCTCTCTCTCAAAATAAATAAATATTTTTAAAAAACCTTAAAAAAAGGAAAGAATGTCATTGAAGCAATTATAGCATTCCATTTTGGTTTGGTCTAGCCTAACATATATGCTTATTAAAGAAAACAAATGCCTGCATTTATTGAAAACTTAGTTTTTCAGCCTCAACTGTAGTTTCTAAGGTTGCTCTTGCCCTTCTGGTCTTTTCTCACCACGATGGTAATGGTTGTACCAGCAGTGGAGGTGGCAGTAGAAGTAACGGCGATGGTGATGTTGATAATAATGAAGATATAGTTTAGTAGTTATTGTACTGCCATTTATTGAATAATTCGATGTAGCAGGAAATTTGCCAAGCAATTTATATGAGTTATTTTTCCACCATCATAAACCTGTAAATCGGCGTTACTAACCTCATTCCTTAGAGATAGATATTTCTAACTCAGAGGTAAGGCAGCACAGTAGGGACATTCTCGCCAGGAAGTTAATCCTAATCTCTATTGTCAATGAAACCTGTGGCAGAGCTGTTTTTCTTTACTGTTTCCATGAAAAATCTGGACCTAACTGAAAGGAAGGATTGTGAAAGGTAGAGAAAGAGGTTGGAAGATTGAAGGGAGCACTTTAATTCCACTTGGAGACCTAGGAGTACTAAGAATTCCCTTCAGTTTTAAAATTTGAAAACTTTCCAGCTATTATTTAGCACATTCTAGAAGTAACACCAGTTACATGAAATTTATTTTGTGAAAAGTGGCAAGGAAGTATCCAAATTTGGAGTTTGCTTTTTTAGTTTGAGAATGCAATTTTGAGGTAAAAACTAAAATTGGTAATAGTTAATTGTATATATTAGGAGATGATTAATAACATTTCCTTTTTTATATTTAACTGTTAAATTATGATAGATATTATGGCCCATATTTAAAATATATGAAATACGGTGTTGAGCTGTGATTTTGGCAAAAACATTGGGATTGTTAGAGATTTTTTTTTCTCTTTTGTATTCAATTATTTACATATCTGTATGATTTGGAATTGAAAATGCTATTTGAGAGTCACTTGAATTTTCTGGTTGATTTTGAATTGTTATTAAATGTAATATGATATAGTTGCTTCAGATTTCAAGATACCCCTAGAGTTAACTTTCTATGAGTCCAGGTTGTCAATGTAAACAGATATGCTTACTCTCCATTGAGGGGGGGCTTTCTAGCCATACAAAGGCAGCAACTTTGCAGGAGTAACATGAAACAGTTACAAAATTTTTCAGTGTTTACTCTGTACATTAAAATACCACAGGGGCACCTGAGTGGCTCAGTGGGTCAAGCATCCAACTCTTGAATTTTGGCTTCAGGTGATGATCTTGCGGTTCCTGAAATCCAGCCCTGAGTCAGGCTCTGCTCTGACAGCATGGAACCTGCTTGGGATTCTCTCTCTTCCTCTCTCCAACCCCTCTCCTATTTATACTACCTCTCTTAAAAATAATAAATAAACATTTAAAAATATTGTACCACAAAAAGAAAGGGTGGACAGTTGAGGGTAACAAACTGCAACCTAAGATCAGATAAAGTATTTTATCATATGTATGTGTTTGTATATATGCATACATGTATACCCTCTTGCAAGGAGTATAAATGTATAAATATGTATAGATACATACACATGCACACATATGGATATCTGTATGTGCACATATACATATATATAATATGTATAAATACATATACATGCGTACACAAAGATATCTGTATATACATGTATACTTGTATAAAAATATATGCATACATATGACTGTGTACATGTAATGTGTATACAGTTCTTTAAAACACTCAATGGAGGTTTATGGAAAAGTGAGCAAAAAATTTCAAAAGATAAAAAATATAAAGGGAAAATAAATATATAAAAAGCTTATTGCTAGTAATCAAAGAACTACAAATGAAGCAGAACTTTCCTCCTACATGATTGAAAATAGTTTTAATCTATTTCTATTTGACAATACCCAGTATTGTCAAAGATAAGAAAACAGAGACTGCTGGTATGTACATTTTCAAAAATATACTAATTTTCTGGGGTGCCTGGGTAGCTTAGTCGGTTAAGCATTTGACTCTTGGTTTCAGTTCAGGTCATGATCCCATGGCTTCATGGGTTTGAGCCACTCATCGGGCTCTGTGCTGTCAGTGTGGAGCCTGCTTGGGATTCTCTCTCTTTCCCTCTGCCTCTACCCCTCCCTGACTCATGCTGTCTCTCTCAAAATTAATAAATAAACTTCAAAAACAAACATACAAATTTTCAAATACATAAGTATATTCTCAAAAGATATAAAAGTGAGAATACTGTTTGTACCAGAAATTCTAGGTTTAGGAAATTTTCTGAACATAAAAATTATGAATGTGTGCTAAGAAAACTTTTGCCATGTCCCAAGGTAGAAAACTTTTTGACTTAATTATGCATATCCACAAAATGACATGCCATGCAGCCACTTAAGTGATATTTTATGGAATACATACGGCAGGAGAACATGCCTATTATATATTGCCTAGTGGAAAACAGGATGCGATGATGACTTTTCAAATCAAATACAGCATATTTATACATGTGTGTATAGAAAAGTAGGTGTAAACAGCACGATATGTTAACAGTTGCCTCTGAGTGGTGAGATCACAAATAATTATTTATCTATTTATTTTCCTATTTTTTAAATATTTTTTGAATTTTCTCCCATAAACATGTAGATTTTGAAAGCAGAAATAAAAAAGTTAATGCATATAACAAGATTTTCTCTTAAATCTTCTGTGACCCTTCACAAATAAAAATGAATGGCCTCAATAGAACAGCCACTTATACAATTAAGCCAGGATATCCAAAAAGGATTTTATCCATTTGTGCTACTTTATCATTGACTTTGCTCCCCCCCACCACCCAGAGGAGATATTTTTGCTTACATTCAGAACTGACATATGAACTTGAATAAAGGAAAAAGGTATTAAAAAACAACTTGACAAACAGATTGCCTTTGATGGTAGTGGATATAGGAGGTGGTAAGGGAGAAATAAACATGATCAAAGGTGATGACAAAGTTTGTGGCTCCGATGGTATTATTTGCAGCGCTTAGGAAGTGGAAGAGTGCTAATCACAAGGGCATGTGGATTTCAGAGTGGAGGGTAAATACTGGGGTAGTGGGCAGGAGATGTGTCCCTGCCATTAAAGAGGTATGCTTTGCTATATAGAAAATGGTACAGACAACTTAAATATACATTTATAATCTGTGTGGGTTTTTGGTTATTAACATTTGACATAAAGTTCTAAATTGTAATTCTCCTTTCTGAATGTTTGATTAGGAAATGCGTCTACTACCACCACAGTGATAGACAGCAAAAATGGATCTGTGCCCAAATCCCCTGGGAAAGTTCTGAAAAGGACAGTCACAGAAGACATAGTGACAACATTCAGCTCCCCAGCAGCCTGGCTTCTGGTCATTGCTCTGATAATCACATGGTCAGCTGTTGCTGTCGTTATGTTTGACCTAGTGGATTACAAAAACTTTTCAGGTAAGAGTCATGAAATGTGGGTTTCAGATGAATAGAAACTATGTTCTCCCCCACTGTCTTTGTTTCTCTTCATCATGTCTTAGTGTGAGAAATAAAGCACCTCTCAAATGTGCTTGAATGTCAACTACTTCTAGTTTCTTTGTCACCATTTCCTTTGATCCTTCTTTGTCTATTGTTCAGTGATTTCGAATGAAATATATTTCCATATTTGTAATGCTGACCGAAAGCCAAACATTACAGTTCTATGAAGATAACTGATTAAAAAGTTTGGTGGAGATTTGGTTTGGGAAATGAGACTTTATCAATTTAAAACAGTACCAAACCAAGGAAAAAACTTTTGGACAAGTGGAAAATTGTGTGAAGCATTTTTAAGTCCCTCTACCATCTGGCTCCAAGCTTTCTTTCCAGACATTTTCTTTGCTCCTCCCATCAAAACATCCTATTTTGAGTTCCTGAAAATAAAGAGTGTTAAAAGGATTTTCTCATAATTACTTGTAATGAGATACTACATCTTGAGTGCCCATGTGTTCTTATGGATTTGGAGTAAAACAGGAATAACACATGTGAGGAAAGACAGATTTTCATTATGGTCTATTCAGTCTTTTAGAATACATTCTGTCTCTTTGTTCAAGGTATTTTGACACTTAAAAATTATATTTGTCTATTTCCACATCTGACATGCTCTATTGACTGTGAATTCCTTGAGGGAGGGACTCAGTCGGGTATACAATAAATTTTAAATAAATAGATGAATGAACTCATGCATATCACTTTTGACCACAAGCAAAAACATTTCATTAAGCTCTTAATGTGCTCTTTCATATTTGCACCATTCACCCCCCAACCCCCACTTTCCATTTTCTTTCTCCAGCGGGAATAGAAATCAGTAGGAACCAGAAACTATAAATACTGTAAATTGCATTCTGTATAGTCAGGGATTCCCCTACTTCTTACTATGGCATTTTACTCATTCAGCAATTATTTATCAAGAACCTACTATATGTGCCAGGCAATGGCTATGTTAAAAGAAATGTAAGTATAAATATTGCAAAGTCATAAAACTATCATTTGGGTTTATTTACATGGCAGTGTGCTTGAGATGATTTTTCCTGCAGTACCATTGATAGCTGCCCTAAAATGAGCATTATCTAATCAGTAGAGATAAGTCCTATGATGTCAATCAAAGAAAAACACTATTAATTCAGAACTGTGAACCTTTGCTTTAAATAAGCTATAATTTTGGTATATTGTATAATGTAGGCTCTTAAAAGAATATACAATTGAAATGCCTATAATATAAAATTATGACCTAGAATTTTAAGTGAAAAGCTTGGTTACACCACTCTAGGTAATTTCATTTCCCTTGAGCCTCTATCAGCTGTGATATTTCATCTATTCTTTCCTTTTCTAGAATATCATTCACTTACATTTTAGAAACAAATATGGTCATAAAATACAGTTCCAATAGATATATCTTAAGAATTACATGTAAATCTCATATTTGTTAAGTTAATAATTTAATAAGTACACTACAGAAATTACTGTTGCAAGGAATTTGTTTTAAATTATTTTATAAAATGAGCAGCTACCTATAATTAGACTTTCAGATTAGATTACTTAAGTGTAAGACACACAATCTATGGTAGAGTTTCCTTGGATTACTGTAATTAGGTGTTATGGATAATGCCTATGTTACTGGCATTTCATCTCACAGGGAAAAAAGAATAGCCTCTGTATTACTGCTACTTCGTTTCTTCTTTCAAGGAGTGTTTATTAGGCACATCTTCTATGTGAGGCCTCCTCTCCCCCATTTCCTGTATTTATTAGTGACCTAACCATCTATCCATTCCCCACAAAAAGAAGTCTGAAGTCATCTTTTAAATCTGCTGGATACCCGATCAATCACTATGCTGGATGCTGACTACTAACTCTCCTGTCTCATGAACTCCCTCCCTTCTCTTGGTTACCACGGTCTCCATTATCGCATTTCCGACCTTGATTCTCTGTTGAGGGGACAAACACAATTTCTTCTTGTCTCCCTCACCCAGTATCTTCCCTTTGACATTGCACCAAAGGTATCTTCATAAAACATAACTTCGGGGGGCACCTGGGTGGCGCAGTCGGTTAAGCGTCCGACTTCAGCCAGGTCACGATCTCTCGGTCTGTGAGTTCGAGCCCCGCGTCAGGCTCTGGGCTGATGGCTCAGAGCCTGGACCCTGTTTCCGATTCTGTGTCTCCCTCTCTCTCTGCTCCTCCCCCGTTCATGCGCTGTCTCTCTCTGTCCCAAAAATAAAATAAAAACGTTGAAAAGAAAAAAAAATTAAAAAAAAAATAAATAAAATAAAACATAACTTCGGCAAAGTATTTCCTATTGCCCAAGTATAAACTCTTTGCCGTGAAATTCAAGTCTTTGGCCTACCTCTTTATTTTCATCTTGTAATTCAGGTCATGCAATCTATTTTCCAGCCATAGTTACTATTGTTCTTCCCTGCATTCTTTTCCTAGGACACATATATTCTCACTCTTCCCTGCTTCCGTTCATTCCATTCTCCTGCCTCCCAACCCCCAGTAGTGCAGAAATTGTAGTAAAGTGGTTAAAGATGTGAATTCTGGTGCTGGATTTCCCTAGGTCTTATAACTTCCTAGCTGTGTAATATTGGAAAAATCATTCAGCCTCTCTTTGCCTCAGTTTCCTCATCTATAAAGTGGGGTCTATAATAGTACCTGTGTAATTAAGTTGTTAAGAGAATTATATAAGTGAATATATTTGAAGTGCTTAAAACAAAACCTGCTTTATCACAAGCACTGTATTGATTAATATTACTAGTTGGTACCCATTCCTCCATTTTCTTGAGGGATGAATTCATGCTTAAGAGCTACTCCCTTTTTTGGTGAAACAGTCTCAGATTTCCTAAGAAAAAATCACTGTACTGTGCTTTCATTCCCTTACTACCTTATGGGCAACTGTATTAAACAGCAGTTAGCACACTGTATTATAAATATATTTTTGCTTGTCTATCTAACTCAGAAACATAAACGTATCCAAGGAAGGGACTGTCATATTCATCCCTGTATGTGAGTGCCTGTCATATAGTAGATTTTCTGGTATCCATTTCCTAAAGGATACATAGTGTTGACATTTTGATTTTGAAACAATTTCTTACATTATGAAGAAAAAAAATACATCATACATTTTTTATTTCATCCAGTTTTTGAGCAACTCTAAAAATTAGTGAATACATTTAATAAAATCAGAATGAAAAAATAATAAAATATGTTTATAAGATGCAATGTTACTTGTCATATTTTATAATGGTCATCTATGCCATATAATAAATTACCTCAAAAATAAGTGGTTTAGAGATGCCTGGGTGGCTCATTTGGTTAAGCATCTGAGTTGGTTAATATCTGACTCTTGATTTCGTCTCAGGTAATGATCTCCTGGTTTGTGAATTCAAGCCCTGAGTTGGGCTCTGGGCTGACAGTGTGCAGCCTGCTTGGGATTCTCTCTCTTTCTCTCTCTCTCTCTCTCACTGCACCTCCTCTGCTCTCTCTCTCTTTCTCAAAAATAAATAAACTTAAAAACAATAAGTGGTTCAAAACAATAATAAACATTTATTATCTCAATCAGTTTCTGAAGGCCAGGAGTTTGGGAATGGCTTAGCTGGGTGGTTGTTGGCTTAGGGTATATTTTGAGTTTGCAATAAAGACATTGACTGGGGCTGCAGACATCTAAAGATTTTCTTGGATAGTGGAACCACTGGCAAGTTGTCGCACTCGTTTTGCTGTCAGGTTAATGCTGATGTGTCTTCACGTCGTGGCAACTGACTGCCCTCAGATCCAAGAGAGAGCATGGCAGAAGCCACAAAGCCCCTTATGACCTAGACTTGAAAATCACATACCGTCATTTCTGCAAAGTCCTTTTGGTTACACACGTCAGCCCTATGTGTTGTCCTAAGAGACTAACTACAAAATGGTATGAATACCAGCAGGCAACGATCGTTGGGGGCCAATTTGAAGGCTGGTTACCCCATACCCACTCCCAGAAAATTATATTGCCAGGCTATACATCTTTAGATAAATGCTTAGATATAAGGAAACGCCATCCAATACTCTAGCTGACAAAATGTTATTGTAATTACCACAGGTGCAAAGAGAAAGATGATGTATTGGGATGACTGTCATCACAAGACCACATCTAGGAAGATAAATAGTCTCTAATGAATTTGAAATGAAAAATAAATAATCACAGAGTTAAAATTCTAAAGAAAAAATATATACATTCTTCAAATAAAAAGTTCAAATACTTTTTGCTAATTAAAATTTGAATGTGCATTTTCTGAAACCAAAATAATATAAGTTCAAAGTCTGTCTAATTACAGCATAAAACTTGTAACTCATAGTGACCATTAATTGCATGAGATATATGCACTCATATTAAAATTTTTATTTCTTTTCTCCATTTAGTGAATTCTAGCCTGTCTTTTTAATGTAGATTATTCACAGAAAAAAATTGTTTTCTTTAATAAGAGTGTCAAATGTAAATGGTATTCCTATGTTGCAATGCTATTTTTAATTGATACATTTCAAATATTTACTAAGGATTAATGTTATGATGATGAGTCTTTCGTAATAGATAATGTTTTTGAAATTTGTATCATTAATGTTTAAAAAACAAGGCTGGTGATAAAAGAAAGCATATTGGAAATAACTGAAGGGCAGACAGGATAACTGTCTCTGGGCTCTGAATTACTCTCTGGCATTTTAGAAAAGTAAGTAAATGCTTTTAAGGCATTAAAAGTTGTTCTTAGAGAAATGAAAATCTATTTTCATAAGCAAATACTATACTGCATTGAGAAGAATGAATCTCCTTTAGGCCAATCTTTGAAATTCCTTATTTTCTGAATTTGGTTTGATATACCCAAATAACGTACTGGTGAGGGATATGTGGAACTGACTTTTATGTGCCTCTTTCGGAAGACTTGAGTTCACTCTACAAC